TTAGTTTGGAACAAACTGTAGCCACTTAAAAAACAATTTTAAAAAACATTTCTTGTCTCTCAAATTGATATTGACAATCGTTTAATACTTTAGTTATTTTTATTATGCCTTTTATATTTTAATAAATATATCATTTTTATTTATACTCTGTGGTATAATCATGTCCTTATTTAATTTACTTGCTTTTAAAATTAGGATTTTTTTTTAAAGAAAAATTACGAAATATTTTTTTTATGATTTGGTACAAAAATATATATTTTTTTTATATTTTAAAATTATCACGTAATATTTTAATATCGTAAATGCATCATATACTTATTCTATGTTGTAAATAATAATTTATGTTATGTGCTACAAACGCGTTTCATATGTGTATGTTCAACATAAGATATAAAATTAAAATTGTTGGTGAATGCCCCGTGAAGTGTGCGGAGGAAGGCGTCACCGGCTCAGACAAAGGCCGGTACATTGTCAATGTCGAGGTAAATATTGTGATATTTACTAAAATATAGTGTATGTAGTTCTTTTATTGCACTGTTGGAACATATGCCGCTTTATGTTGTAACATAGAATTTGCACATATATGTTGTACATATGTTTATATCGTATTGTCGCGTCATTCCTTCCGCGCGGGAAAATAGTAGCCTATGTGTTCTTCCATACTATGTTCTACACGTCAAATTTCAGCGAGATACATGCAGTAGTTCTGGAGATACCTTCTAATAAGCATCCATCTAAACATTCGCATTTATATTAGTAAAAAGTAGGATGTGTGATAACATAGTGATTGGAAATATGTTGGATCATCATCAGCTCATACCTCCCCACTGAGTGACTCGGAGTCTACCCTAAGATAATGACTAGGGCATAGTCAATACTGGCCCACTGACTGACTTCACAGATATGTGCAGCATCACCATGATTCCCTTCAACGTAGGATAAATGTATATATGTATGAAAAATACATTGGTACATGTACATTTATCCGAAGTTCTTACGGTGAAGGAAAACATCGTGATGCTGCACATATTTGTAAAGAAATTAAAAGATATTTGTGAAGCCACTCACTGGGCCAGCATTGACTATGGTCTAGTCAACCAACTGAGGGTATACGTGAGCTGATGATGGCAATTCAAACCCAGGGCCTGCAAGTCAAGCGCTCAACCTCTGAGCAATCGCTTTTAAGATCTATGTTACAACATAACAGATTTAAAATTAATGTTATACTGGTTTTATGTTACGTAATATTTCATTTATGTTGAATACAATTGCACCGTATTGTTAACTATATCCACATTGCATTTATGTTGCACTATGTTTTTTATTTTCGAAATATTTTAATAATTCATGCACTTTGTTGAACATATGCACAATTGTTAATGCTTTGACAGTTTTATTTGAATTTTAAAATGTCATAAAATAAGGTGGTTTGTTATTTCTTTAAGGTTAAAGTTAATTTCGCCTTTTTTATACCAATTATGTTGAACTCAGTTAAGTCTATGTTGAACTTTTTTAGATGTATATTTTTTTTAATAAAAATATAGCTGTTTTTATATTAAATAATAATTACGAAGAATTATGAAAATAAGACAACTAGGGGCGGAGAAATCGAGGAAAAATATATACAGACGACTTGAAAACCTCCTTTTTGAAGTCGGTTAAATAATAGATTTAAGCTTGAATTGTTTTTGAAGATTTAAGATTTAAAAAAGTATAGCAAAGCTCTCTCATTACTATAGTAATGTTTTTTCTTATGTATATTTTGTTTTGTTTAAGATTTTTTTTAACAAAAAGTTGAAAGTATATAACTAAAGAGAGTTTAGAATACTTGCGCTGAAGCGACTCAAAGTAGAGTTACTTCGAGAGTGATCGAGAGCGACATAATAATAATAAGTTTCTTTAAATATTAATTAGTATAGCCTTATGAAAGTTTTAATTATTTTTAAATGTTCATTTTGTGTTGCCAATAAAATTTATATTTAAGTGTTGCTAGGATATTAATGCTTGATGTTGCATGTTCATACATTTTATAACACTAACCGTAAATATGGCCACACATTTACGATAAATTTTGCCATATTTATGAATACTAGCAGTCGCCCGCGTCTCCGTCTGCACGGTATTAAAAAAAAACGAGGTAGACAATGTGTACTTCTAAACCAGTGGTTCCCAAACAGATTTTGTCTACTGCCCACTTTGAGAATTAATATTTTTTTAGCGCCCCCATATTTTCACATATTTAAAAACAACTATAACTTCAAATTAAATTAATTAATTATTGTGACCTATATATGTATATTAACGGAGAATTGTAAACGAAACTTTTGCTATAACCCGCAACTTGAGACCTGCAGCGCCCACAAGGGGGCGTTATCGCACACTTTGGGAAAGACTGTTCCAGACTATGTTCTATATGTATGACAAATTTTTATCGAGGTTCGTTTAATCGTTCTGGGGATACCTTCAAATAAACATCCATCTAAACATTCGCATTTATAATATTAGTAATATTAATAAATAGTTTTTGAGTTAATAAAAATGTGTGGTCATTTTTTCATGGGTTTGGATGCTTTTGTGGTTTATGGTTTAAATTATATGATAAATTAGATTAACTTAATTATATATGCTTAATGAGAATCTTTGTGCTTGAATTCTCGGTTGTTTTGCTAATAATAATATCAATCAGTTTTTTTATTATTGTTTACAACTAAGTACTAAGTTTATGTAACATCGTAAAAATTTACAGGTCGGTATATGTATATGATATATAGAGAATAATGTACATAGCACAGATTTATACAATAAAATTGGCAAAAGGAACTGGCTATCCACAACACGTATACGCTAAGCCTAGTAGGTAAGGGGGCGTCAATAAATTACGTGAGGTGTTTTTTTTTAATTTTCTGCAAGATGAGATGTCGTGAGATTTTATTCAACCCCTTCCCCCAGCCCCTAATCTCACGTGAGATTTTTCAAAATGTGAGTTTCTTACGTATATGCGTTGGATTGTTATTGTAAAAATAAAAAAAAATAACGTGATTTTTGCCGAAACCCCCCCATCTTTCCAACGTAAGATTAAATGAGATTTGACTGCACCCCCTCCCCTCTCCCCCCTTAAACACCTCACGTAATTTATGTGCCCCCTTAATGTAAAATCGAATATATAAGGGGAAGGGATTGGCTCTTGAACTATATTGCTCAGATATAGTACAGGAGCCAAGGCTTTCACATGATTGTGTACTTTATTGTTAAAATAAAGCATTTATTTATTATTGTTGTTGTTATTTTTAAGTAGAATGAAAGAGATGATGATTCAATGCAAGTTTTATACAATGAAACAATAATTTGATTCAGCTCCAGGACGTCTCTAGCGAGTAGTCGACAGTCTCTAACTTCGTATACATCACCGACAACTGAACGAGCGACGTCACCGGATCTGACAAAGAGAGCGTCGTTTGTTGAGGTATAACCTTGAAATTTTTATAAACGATGGTTATTTTGATTGGTCGATGTGAAATATTTTTTCAAATCCGACCCTGTCGGAAAATTGTATAGACTTTTTTCATAAATTGATTTTATTACAGGGTCGGATTGGAAAATTTATTAAACATAAAATATAACTAAATTTATGGATTTAATAATTAATTTCGTGGTGTATACTATATTATTTTACATGTTACAACAGTTTTTTGGTATTAAATACATTGAAACGTGGAGAAGCTAGAGCAGTCTTTCCCAAAGTGGGCGATTATGCCCCATTGTGGGCGCTGCAGGTCTCAAGGGGGGCGGTAAGAGACCCGGAAAGAAAATGGGGGCGTTGTGTAGAGGCCTGGGGGGTGATTTGTAATTTTATTTACCTAGGAGGCCTCTTAGACAACGACTGCATGAGCTCTCGACTCTCAACAACAACTTGTGAACATCAACTAATATAAATTAAAAGATTTCTTAAACTCTAATATGGGGGGCGCTGAAAAAATATTTATTCTTAAAGTGGGCAGTAGACAAAATAAGTTTGGAAACCACTGAGCTAGGACTCTAATATTTTTCTTGCTTGTAAAGATTTCTTTCTAACCCGAGTTTCTAGCTTAGGGGTTTCTCATTTATCGAGGTTTGGTTGTACTAAATTATTTAAACAAATAATTTCAGACTAATTTCGTGGAGACGTTAACCCCTCAATACACACCGGGTCAGAGCCTCACGTCTCCACAACCAGCTTCTAATGCTGTGGAAGACAAGCTGGCGAACATGCAAGCACAGCAAGAGGTATGATTCTTAAGATCTTAGACGTGGGTGGCTCAGGGGTTACTTGTCTGCAGGTCCTAGGTTCCATATATAGCGATGTTTTCCACATATGTACATTTATCTGATATTGCAGTGAAAGAAATCATCATGATGCACATATCTGTGAAGAAATTCAAAGATATGTGACGTCACTCACTGGGTCAGCTCTGACTATGATCTAGTTAACTTAGTGGAGGATCCGAGTCCTTTAGTGGGGACTTATAGTGAGCTGATGATATTTAAATAAATATATAAACGACTTATAAAACATTCCAACAGATAACAAATCTCAAATCCGAAGTGGAAGATCTTAAAGAGAAGCTGGAGACGTTGAGAGTGAGACGCGCAGAAGATAGGGAGAAGATAAGAGAGTTGGAAAGACTGCGTCTACAATTGGATCAAGCGAATGAGTTCAAGACCAAAATAATGGAGTCCAAAGCTCAATTGCAGAGAGATTTACAAAGAGCTAAACAAGAGGTAAGGTTATACACTTTAAGAAATACTTTAAGTATAGATTTTTATAACAAACTAGGTTTATGGAATTAAAAAAAAATTTGCTTATGACATCCCAGTATACACCAGCTATCTTTCAGTCAAAATCGGTCTAGCGGTTCCAGAAATTACAAGGGTTTAACAGTGGTAGAGCGAGCTTTGACATCTTGGTACGAATTGTCCCGTCTCGCCCGGTGAAATACCACGACCATACAGAAGACAGGCGTCAAGTGGAAGCAATTCCCGGAGGCCTAATTTAGTCCTCTTTCCCTTCCCACCTTTTTTCTTATAAGGAAAGAATGGGAAGTGGATGTAGACGTTCCAGATGAGAGGATGCATGGAAAGGGAAAATATTTTCTTTCTGTGCATCCTCTCCTCTGTCGATTAAAGGTAGGCAACGCATATGCCATTGCGTATGTCTATGGGCAACGGTCACTACGCTATTTCAGTGATTTCAGGTGACCGCTCGCTCGTTTGTCAACTTATGATATGAAAAAGGAGGAGAGGATGCACAGAAAGAAAATATTTTCCCTTTCCATGCATCCTCTCAAGTCCACTTCCAGTTCCCATCCTTTCCTTATAATAAAAAGGGTGTGAAGGGAAAGAGGACTAAATTAGACCTCCGGGACACACACTCATCAGACTGTACGCGGAATAGCTTCCACTTGAGGCGTGTCTTCCGTATGGTTGTGGTATTTCACCGGGAGAGCCGAGACAATTCGTGTGAACACGTTAAAGCTCGCTCTACCACTGTCACAACAAGGATATCTCCTTTCTGTCGTTCCCTTATCATATGATGAAGTCAGTGCCACTTCTCTTCCATCAGGTCCGTGAAGCCCAGGAGGCTTTAGAAGCACATAATGAAGAAACAGCAGAACTCCAAGAGGCAGCAGAGATGGCTGCACTGGATAAGGAGATGGCGGAAGAACGTGCTGAAGCTTTGCAGATGGAACTGGAACAATGCAGAGATAAATTAGAAGAGGCAACATTGGATTTGCAACTTATGAGAGCTGAGATGGAAGCTGGAGGGAATATACGTAAGTAGACCACGCCCATAAATAGATAAACTCCGCCCATTTAACTATAAACCACGCCTAATTAGCTCAAATCCTTACTAATATTATAAATGCGAATGTTACTCTGTCTGTCCTTCTTTCACGCATAACTACTGAACCGATTTAAATGAAATTTAGTACACAAATAGTCTGTAGTACCTGAGATAGGATTTAGGCTATTTTTTAACGCGAAATGGGGTTTGGAAATTTGTATGGAAGCAAAATAATAGTAGGGGATGAAAGTTTATTTTAGAATATAAATATTTTGTGAGTTTAATATGTTTTCTTGGTATATACTATAAGTGATAGTAAAATAAGTAGCCTATATAATTAAAATGCTATCCAAAGTCAGTGTTTTACGTGTACAAAGTCGCGGGCAAAGCTATGTGTTCTTTCAGACTATGTTCTATAAGTATGCCAAATTTAATCGAGATCCGTTCAGCCGTTCTATAGATATCTTCAAACATCCATCCATCCATCCACATAACATCCATCTAAACATTCGCATTTATAATATTAATAAGTTAAATAAAAAGCTCTTCAAGGCATAAATTCTAAAATAAATGAATAAATAGTATCCTATGTCCGTCTCCTGGCTCTAAGCTACCTCTTCACCAATTTTCAGGCATATCGGTAAAGCCGTTCTTGAGTTATAAATAGTGTAACTAACATCACTTTCTTTTATATATACAGGATGTCCCAAAAGGTTACGTTTATAGGAAGGGGGATGATAGGGGTGGTCCCAAGAGTCACCAAAAAAATAAAATAAAAAATTCCCCTCTGGGTATTAAAAAAAATACCTTGTGACCTCTATCATCCCCCTTCATATGTACGTAACCTTTTGGTACACCCTGTATAGATATATAATTAAACACGGCACACATTTCACACAAATGCTTCTTTAACTTTTTTTTCTTAAAGTGAGTTTCTGAGACCAGAATCTCATTTTAAAACATATTTTTATCTCTGTTTTGTCAAAGATAATGACAGGGATGAAGATATGTTTAATATTATTTTGTTCTCTGAAACCCACGGTTAGTTACCTCCTTTTATATATATATATATATATGTAAACTAGCGGACCCGACAGACGTTGTCCTGTCTATACGTCTTTAATTTGAATATATTAATATGGTGTTAATATTTGATGAAAATTGTGAATCTAAACCATTCCCACATCCCCTTGAACACACACAAAAAATTTCATCAAAATCGCTCCAGTCGTTTGAGAGAAGTTCAGTGACATACACACGCACAAAAGAATTATATATATAAAGATTGATTTTTATTTACGTATATTTATTATTTTTTATCTTTTTAGAATTATTTACACAACTTATGCATGTATGTATAACAATTTTAAATATATTATGTATATATTTTGCGTTATTTTTTGTTTGTTTTATGTTTGAAATTTGTTGCAGCATGTTTTTGTCTCCCTCTGCGACTGACTTTATAAATGTCAATTCTATGCTTCTTAACTCTATGTTATATAGTTCTTATTATATTAAGAAATACATATATACTATTAAATATTATTAATTGAGTAATATAATAAATGTATGGATACGTAAAGTCCTTAAATTTGGCATTTTTTTAAGTAATTTTTTAACTAAAAATTTAAAGAAGTAAATCTTACTATTTTACTCATTAAAATTTTTGATGTATGGATGGATGGATGTTTGAATGTATCACCAGAACTTGCTTGGATCTTGATGAAATTTGTCATACATGTAGTACATAGTCTGGAAGAACATATAGGCTACTTAAAGTTTTTTTTTTTTAATCCACGCGATGATCGCGGGACAGATAGTAAGATATATTATATATAATAATAAGCAGGTCTTAGTTTCAAATCCCGCCATGTACCAATGTGTTTTTCGATTTCCGATTTACATATGTACATTTATCCGATGTTACGGTGAAGGAAAACATCGTGATGCTGCACATATCTGAGAAGATATTCAAATATATGTGTCAAGTCACTGCACTTGGTCAGCGTGGTTGACTATGTCCTAATCACCCGTAATATAGAGTAGGCTTCAAGCCCCCTTATAAGGTTAATATTAGAAGACTGAGATAGATATGTTTAGAGGGAGACAGCATGTTTAATCTCGTTGTGGACGGTTGAATACTATTTGCTTATACATAGGAATATAATCTTATGTTTTGTCTGAAAAATGTTTGAATTACTGTTATCAAGAAAGATCTCTTTTATCGTTTGTTCCATTCTATGCACGATTCATTCATTTATATTGGTCTCCTCGTGTATGCGTGTGACGAGTTTTTATTTCCGTTATCATTCGTTCTTTGAACAATCGTTCATTCTTTTATATTTAGTGTTATGAAAATACGACACTCTGTCTGTGTATCGCAACATTAACCATTCTGACACTTGACTTTGTAACGAAAGCACGTCATTCACGTCAAACGATTTTAACTAATAATGCCTAAGACTAATGAGTTCACTCTTTCAATCATTCACCATTCATTCGTTCAACAGACTATAACTTTTCACGCAATTTGGGTGTACCTTTGATAAGATACAGGCTACATCATAAATTATATTTCCTATTCATTCACCATTCACTTTAACAACTGCATTTCATTCGTTTGCCTTTGACTGGTAATTCTATCTTTCCGGCTAGGGTCGGTTTAAGAGATTCCGTTACCATGGTCTAGACTTTTCGCCTTATTTTTGGTGTCGGCGGAAACTTTCCAAAGATAAAGTACCTTAGAAGGTCACCTACGGTGCATCCTTACGCCCTGGGCGGTCGTCCCACTTCACCCTCCTGCCGTTTTCATCGCCTAAAGAATCTCATGCAATCGACTACTTTCCTATGTTTTGCGTTCCATTAACAAGAGAGTCAGATGTCCTATGCTCCATTATTCCATTGATTAAAATCCCAATCACTCGTTCAGTACACACTATCGTTCATATCATTCGTTCAGCCGTCCACAAGTTGTTCAGTGTGTAATGTGTGCGCGTGGTAACCAGAACACCCGTATGCAGTGGGCGAGGGTGCGACAGGGTACGAGATGAGAGCCCTCCAGCAACAGAATGTCAGGCTGAGAGAGACGCTGGTGCGTCTGCGCGATCTCTCAGCCCATGACAAACATGCTATGCAGAAAATGCATAAGGTAGGTAATTTTCAGATATTCGCAGCTTTTAAATTATATTTCATAGATTTTTTTTTAATATACAAATGTCTCATATTTAGTATTGTGTGTTATAAGAGCGTCGGTGGCTCATTGGTTAAGTTGCAATCTGCTGGCCCTGAGTTCGAATCCCGCCATGTACCAATGTTTTTTTTCGATTTATATATGTAAATTTATCCGACGTTACGGTGATGCTGTACATATCTGTTTTTTTATTTAAAATATTAGCAGTTTTCTGTGTAAATTTACTAATATTTCTTTAACCATTCCAAATAAGCTCTATGCTTGTGCTAGGATATGGTTTACGACAGTAGTCGAATATCGGGATTCGAATCCCCGACCTCGTGATCGGAAATCCGTACCCTTAACCATTAGGGTATTGACGCTTTAATTTTATCTGTGACGAAATGTCAAAGATATGTGTGAAGTCGCATTGGGCCAGCAATGACTATGACCTAGTTAACTTAGGGTAAGCTCCGAGACCCTCAGTTGGGATATATAGTGAGCTGATGATGATCATGATGTTATGTAATATTAGGTGTAGTAGAAAGATTTAAGGGTACAAATTTCAGCCAGTACACTGTTTTTGCAGTATTCAAATTCCATGTGATGAGTAAAGAAATAAATAAAAACCTTCGAGTCGTGCGTAATATAATTTAAGATGTGTTTAGGCGTAGGATGAGGTGGATGCATCTGCATTTTTTACCGCATTTACCATGGGGAGTGTTCCGAAGAACTGTTTGGAACGATTCCTGCCGCCGAGTTCCGTAATCGGACGACACGACAGACCGCCAGGTTCCATCCACACCACCTGGATGGCTGGTGTTCCACAACCGTGCGATTCTCGCGCAATTTCTTGCCTCGAACAGTCGCGTTGTGGAACGGTCTGTCCTCGGCGGTATTTCCAAACCAGTACAACTTAGGGACCTTCAAGAAGCGAGCATACCATTTCCTTAAAGGCCGGCAACGCATCTACAGTTCCTCTGGTGTTGCAGATGTCCATGGGTGTCGTTGATCACCTCGGTGTTGAAGCTGCTCGTTTTCCCCCTTCTCTTATAAAAAAGGATGATATGAAATTTAATAATAAATTCAAACATTGGTCCTTCGGAACATGATTTCTGTCTATACATTATCTTAGGTGTTGTATATTCAAGGATGGGAGGAGGCCATTGCGTAATACAAGATCAGCTGTTAAAAAGAAGTACTTCGTCAAGTTCCATCTTTAGTCATTTTTTTATGGGTATTTTTCTATAGATACTGTTAACACTTTCAATGCTACAATGATTTTTACGTATTTAAAAGACATTGAACTGTGGCATTTGACGTGTTAAAAAGCTAAAAAAAGTGTTTTATCTAATATTTTAATAAATAGTCTCTGTAGTCTAGTCTAGTTTAAATTTGAAAAGTGTCAATAGCCTTATGGTTAAGGGTACGGATACCGGTCCGCTATTTCAGCGATTTCAGGTGGCCGCTCGCTCGTTTACCACTTTATGATATAAAAAAATCGGATTTAAAAACTTAAATAAGCAATTTAGATTAAAAATCAAAGGATTTCATCAAATTAAGATATATAATTAACTTTTCTAGGATTTGGAACAGTATAAATCAGAAATAGCAGAACTGAGTCGTACTAAAGAGAAGTTATCAGCCAGAGTTGAGGAATTGGAGGCTCAGGTAGCTGATCTCAGGGAGCAGGTGGATGCGGCACTTGGTGCTGAAGAGATGGTGGAACAGCTTGCTGAGAAGAAGATGGCTTTGGAAGACCAGGTAAGATATTATTAAATATATTGCTTAGAAAATTGAGAGGTTATGTTTAAAATATTCATAGTCTGACTATTTTCTATACATAGGTTTGATAACAATGTTTTTGACTTAGATATTAGCCTTTGCCCTCGACTTTCTTTGTGTGGAATTAAAAAAAAACTTACTGAGTAACCTATGTGTTCTTCCAGACTATGTTCTATATGTATGACAAATTTCATTAAAACCCGCTCAGTTGTTCTGGAGATATCTTCTAACAAACATACATCTAAACATTCGCATTTATAATATTAGTTAAGATGCGAGTGTCGGAGTTTGACGTCTTATCGTGATTTTTGCCAATTTTACGCCATATTTTGTGGTCTGAAATAAATATCTTACTAATATTATAAATGCGAATGTTCAGATGTTTGTTAGAAGATATCTCCCAGAACAGCTGAATGGATCTTGATGAAATTTGACATACATATAGAACATAGTCTGGAAGAACACATAGACCACTTATTACTTGTTTTTATCCCACGCAGACAGAGTCACGGGCAACAGCAAGTTTTACTATATTTTTAAATCTCTAAACTATCAGGTTTCCTTTCTATTTGTCATTTCGTTACTTTCCAGGTGGAACAGCTGAAGCAGGACGTGTCAGAGTTGGAGGCGCTGCAGGAGGTGCATGAGCAGCTGGTAGAGTCTAACAGGGAGCTAGAGATGGATCTGCGCGAGGAGTTGGAGATGGCTCATGCAGCTACCAGAGAGGTGAGGACATGAATACTGAAGTTAAATATAAAACAATTTTAAGCGAATTATTGTCGTAAGAGCGTCGGTGGCTCAGGAGTAAAGCTCTTGACTTGCAATCTGCAGGTCCAGGGTTCGAATCCCGCCATGTACCAATGTGTTTTTCCATTTCCGATTTACATATGTACATTTATCCGATGTTACGGTGAAGGAAAACATCGTGATGCTGCACATATCTGAGAAGAAATTCAAAGATATGTGTGAAGTCACTGCACTTGGTCAGCGTGGTTGACTATGGCCTAATCACCCGTAACTTAGGGTAGGCTCCGAGACCCTCAGTGGGGACGTATAGTGAGCTGATGATGATGATTGCTCGTTTGCTATAAAAAAAAAATTGGTTATGGATTTTTCGTTCATACTCAAGTTTTTCGCTTATAGAGAAATCGAAAACATATTTTTGAATTCTTAATGTCTAATAAAAATAATTAATTTTAGTTCTTAATAAGGTTCTTAGAATTTTTGCAGGTTTTATCATAGTATTATAGCATTTTAGAATGTCGATGAGTTTTTTTTTATATCATAAGGAGGCAAACGAGCGAGCGGTCACCTGAAATCGCTGAAATAGCGAAGTGACCGTTGCCCATAGACATACGCAATTGCCTATGCGTTGCCTACCTTTAATCGACGGAGGAGAGGATGCACAAAAATAAAATATTTTCCCTTCCCATGCATCCTCTCATCCGGAAAGTCCACTTCCACTTCCCATCCTTTCCTTATAAGAAAAGGGAGGGGATGTGGAAGTGGACTAAATAAGGCCTCCGGGACGCACACTCATCAGACGAAATGCGGAATAGCTTCCACTTGACGCCTGTCTTCTGTGAGGTCATGGTATTTCACCAGGAGAGCCGGGCCAATTCGTGCCAAGATGTTAAAGCTCGCTCTACCACTGTACCAGTTGCGTCATACAATTTTTTTACACAGTTTCATGTAAATGATGATATTGACGCTTATATTTCAAGGCTGTACGTGAAAGAGAAGCAGCAATGGAGACAATAATGGATAGAGATGCGACAATTGTCAAGTTCCGGGAACTTGTTCATAAGATGACGGAACAATACAATGATTTGAGAACACAATTGGATAACAAACAAGGTAAATCCAAAAATATAGCGTATAAGGGAACGTACCCATACTACGTGACCCTTTTAGGGGGGGGGGGGGTTAGTCATTAAAATACTACGGTCAGTCACAGTAAAGGGGGGGGCTGAGATTTTAGTCATGTAGTCGTTACTTGTTTTTTTTTTCATAATACATAATTCACTATTAATTTAAGAATGCATGCAGTCTTATGTTATAAAGAAGACTATGAGCCAAATTATTTCTTTTTCAATTTTTACCTGTGAAATGATTAAAAATCATAATTATGAATTACTACGTAAAAACTAAAGAGGGGTGTTAGCATGTACTACGTGTCACCGAGGGAAGGGAGGCGTCGAAAAAATTAGGTACGTAGTATGGGTATGTTTCCTAACATCCCCGAACTCATCAGCTACCTTCCAGTCTAAGTCTGATCAAAATCGGTCCAACCGTTCCGGAGCTAACAAGGAACGTACACAGGCAATGATGAAAAAAATGTTTTTCTCTCTCTGCCGGTGACTTTGTCCTTGAAATTATTTTACTTGAATTATATAATATTATAATGAATATCTTACTAATATTATAAATGCGAATGTTTAAATCTCATACATATAGAACATAGTCTGGAAGAACACATATACTATTTATGTTAATTTAATTTCACGCAGACGAAGTCGCGGGATGTTAATCTTTATATATATAATTCTTCTGTGTGTGTGTATGTCACTGAACTTCTCTCAAACGACTGGAGCGATTTTGATGAAATTTTTTGTGTGTGTTCAAGGGGATCTGGGAATGGTTTAGATTCACAATTTTGTCCGCTGGACAATGTTTTTTTAATTAATTTTTAATTTACTAGTAGTTGTTGATTTTGGAATGTTTCACATTGGATCCGACAGTCGGCGCTACCATCGCAGTGTCAAATTTTAAATAATATTCGAATTAAAGACGTGTAGACAGGACAACGTCTGTCGGCTCCGCTAGTACTAATATATTTCAAGAGATTTCTTTTCTAATAAAACAGTAACTAACTTTGATTAATGTTTCCAGAATCACCACCACGACCAGAACAACAAGAATCCAGCCCAGAAGTCAGGGCCTCGCCCCCGGAGCTGGGGACATTGGTGCAGGCGTCACGCGCCTCCACACGCTCGGTAGACCTGCAGCTCAGGGCATTAGAGCTGGCGCAGGCGAAGGCGCGAGCGGACATGCTGGCCGCCTGTCTACCTGATCACTTCATGTCTAATGCTGGTTAGTTGGCCTTAACAATATTATCATCATCTTTATTGTTGTTATCATCAACATCACATTTGGCATCCTTATGCCATCATCATCATCTTTGCAATGATTATACTATCATCATTGTCGTCATCATTATTGTCATCGTCGTCGACATTATTGTCATCGTCATCATTGTCATCATCATTGTCATTGTCATCGTCATCATCATTGTCGTCATCATTATCATTATTGTCATCGTCGTCGACATTATTGTCATCGTCATCATTGTCATCATCATTGTCATCGTCATCGTCATCATCATTGTCGTCATCATTGTCATTATTGTCATCGTCGTCGTCATTATTGTCATCGTCGTCGTCATTATTGTCATCGATTTTATTTTTCTGATGACCCTTGTGACCACCCCTATCATCCCCCTTCCTATGTACGTAACCTTTTGCGACACCCTGTATATTAATTTTAGTTTTAGTTTCATGACTAAATGTACATCATCATCATCATTGTCATCACTGTTGCTATCATACGTATCTTCAGAGTTATTTTAATAGAAATTGTATGTTTTTTTTTAATGATATATTTTCAGGTGATCACGACGCGATATTGCTTATTCTGTTATTACAACGTTTGAATACAAAAGCTGATATAATTTTGGGACAAATACGTGAGAAGTGAGTAATGTTATTTATTAATAAATATTGAAAGTAATATATAAAGCGTCAATAGCCTAATGGTTAAGTGTACGGATTTCCGACCACGAGGTCGGGGGTTCGAATCCCGACATTCGACTATTGTCGTAAACCATATCCTAGCACAAGCATAGAGCTTAGTTGGAATGGTTAAAGAAATATTAGTCAATTTACAAAAAAAATCTGCTTATATTTCTACAAAAAAAAAAGATATTTAATTCCTAACGCTTTTGTACATAGTTACTAGCTGTCTCCTCTGACTCTGCGTGGAATTAAAAGTAAACTCAGTAGTGTATGTGTTCTTCCAGACTATGTTCTATATGTATGACAAATTTCATCAAGATCTGTTAAGTCGTTCTGGAGATATCTTCAAACATAAATCCATACATTCTCTTCTATATATCTTCTAGATATATATAAAAGAAAGTGGTGTTAGTTACACTATTTATAACTCAAGAACGGCTTTACCGATATGCCTGAAAATTGTTGAGGAGGTAGCTTAGAGCCAGGAGACGGACATAGGATACTATTTATTCATTTTTTTTTCGAATTCATGCCTTGAAGAGCTGCTTTTTATTTAACTTACTAATATTATGCAAATGTTTAGATGGATGTGATGTGGATGGATGGATGGATCGTTTGAAGATATCTCTAGAACGGCTGAACGGATCTCGATTAAATTTGGCATACTTATAGAACATAGTCTTAAAGAACACATAGGCTACACTAATTAAGTTTTTTTTATCCACGCGGACGGAGTCGCGGGCGACAGCTAGTTTATAATGTTAGTAAGATTACTAAGAAGTCAGATTATTTTAATAATTGTAATAAGAAATTTGATATATTTTTTTTAGGTTCCCAGCAGTGAACGTGTGGGACAGAGAAGTGATAACAAAGACGCATACAGCAGTCCAGTACAGCTTCAGATGTCAACTGGAATACCAGTTGCATATGATACAGGTAAAAAATAAAAATTAAGACAAAATAATTAATAATTTTACGGTTCGAGCGTCGGTGGCTCAGTGGTCAAGCACTTGACTTGCAATCTGCAGGTCCTGGGTTCGAATCCCGCCATGTACCAATGTGTTTTTCCATTTCCGATTTACATATGTACATTTATCTGATGTTACGGTGAAGGAAAACATCGTGATGCTGCACATATCTGAGAAAGTCAAAGATATGTGTGAAGTCAACTCGCACTTGGCCTGTGGTTGACTATGGTCTAATCACTCTTAACTTAGGGTAGGCTCCGAGCCCCTCGGTGGGGACGTATAGTGAGCTGATGATGATGAACTTTGGGTTTTTAATATATACTAATTTTATAAAGCGGAAGAGTTTGTTTAAACGCGCTAATCTCAGGAACTACTGGTCCGATTTGTAAATTTCTTTTTTTGTTGGATAGTCCATTTATAGAGGAAGGCTTTAGGCTATATAACATTATGGTGCGACCAATATTTTTTTTTAATTTCTAGTGTTTAGTCAGCATGTGGTCAGGAGCACTGGAGACGTGTAGTCCGGAAGTACTGCTGCGTGCTGCTGGTGCGCTGCCGGACGCGGCTGCGCAGGAGCGAGCACTGGATGCACTGACTTCACTGCTCAGGACCAATGAACTGGATGAGAACTGCGCTCTAGATGGTATGTCATACTCAGGTCAGGTCATTTAACAGTGGTAGAGTGAGTTTTAACATAAACCACGATCACACAGAAGACATGCCTGAAATGGAAGCAATAATAACTACAGTGTGATGACTGTGTCAGGAGGACTAATTTAGTCCTCTTTCCCTTCCCATTCCTTCCTTATAAGAAAAAGGGTGGGAAAGGAAAGAGGACTAAATTAGGCCTCCGGGAATAGCTTCCACTTGAAGCCTGTCTTCTGTATGGTCGTGGTATTTCACCTGACGAGCCGATTCGTGCATGTTAAAGCTAGCTCTATCACTGTTAAACGTGATGATAGATTTATAACCTTACTAGCTGTCGCCCGCGACTCCGTCCGGGATGAAAAATAGATGTTGTCCGATTCTCAGAGCTACTCAATATGCTCACAAAATTTCATGAGAATCAGTCAAGCAGTTTCGGAGGAGTATGGGAACGAAAATTGTGACACGAGAATTTTATATATAAGATAATTTCGTGACACGAGAATTTTATACATAAGATAATTTCGTGACACGAGAATTTTATACATAAGATAATCTCGTGACACGAGAATTTTATACATAAGATAATCTCGTGACACGAGAATTTTATACATAAGATAATCTCGTGACACGAGAATTTTATATAATATAATTTCGTGACAGGAGAATTTTATATATAAGATATTTGAAGTTCACAAATGATGTAATACAGGAGTGGAGCGTTGCTGGTCGTACTTAGCAGCGATGTGGTCAGGACTTGGTATGGGAAGTAGTGCGGCGAGGGAGCCAGTGTTACGTGTGTGTAGCGCACTGGATTCACTGGCACGGGCATTACATGCGGATGCCAGTGCACTGTCGCATGTATTACAGGTTAGTAATATAATTGTTAATATCGCTTTTAATATTATTCACTACGACTTAGGATCCTTCAAGAAGCGAGATTATCACCATCTTAAAGGCAACGCATCTACAGTTCCTCTGGTGTTGCAGATGTCCATGGGTGTCGTTGATCACCTCGGTGTTCCCGCTGTGCGTTTGCCCTCTTTTTTTATAAGAGAAGGGGGCAAACGAGCGGCGGGAACACCGAGGTGATCAACGACACCCATGGACAACTGCAACACCAGAGGAACTGCAGATGCCTTTAAGGAAATGGTATGCTCGCTTCTTGAAGGTCCCTAAGTCGTATTGGTTTGGAAATACCGCCGAGGACAGACCGTTCCACAACGCGGCTGTGCGAGGCAAGAAATTGCGCGAGAATCGCACCGTTGTGGAACGCCAGCCATCCAGGTGGTGTGGATGGAACCTGGCGGTCTGTCGTGTCGTCCGATTACGGAACTCTTCTGTTATAAAAAAATTACATAATAACTTGTCGCCTCATTAATCATTCTAACACTTGACTTTGTAATTAAGCGTGAAGTTTAACAGTGGTAGAGCGAGCTCTAACATGCACGAATCGGCTCGTCCGGTGAAATACCAGGACCATACAGAAGACACGCCTCAAGTGGAAGCTATTCCCGGAGGCTTAATTTAGTCCTCTTTCCCTTCCCACCCTTTTTCTTATAAGGAAATAATGGGAAGTGGAAGTGGACTTTCCGAATGAGAGGATGCATAGAAAGGGAATATATTTTCTTTCTGTGCATCCTCTCCTCCGTCTCCGTCGTGCGTATATGGGCAACGGTCACTTCGCTATTACAGCGACTTCAAGTGGCCGCTCGCTCGTTTGCCAAGTTATAATATAAAAAAAAACTAATAATGTCTAAAATAAGGTCAGAATAGCACTAAAGTTTTATATTAGGGTAGGAAATAAAATTTCTTGACTATACAGTCGACAGATAAGCAACACGAGCTGGGTCAACTACACGAATTGATACAGAACAGCAGCTCCGCTCTGCAGCAGCAGCTGAAGAGTGTCAGACGACGATTACCTCCTGGTGCCAGACTGGATAATGTACCATTGGACCTACAGGTATAAATATATACTAATATTATAAAGCGGAAGAGTTTGTTTGTTTAAACGCGCTAATCTCAGGAACTATTGGTCCGATTTGAAAAATTCTTTGTTTAATGGATAGTCCATTTATAGAGGAAGGCTTTAGGGTATATAACATTACGCTGCGACTAATAGTTTTTTCAAATTCCGTGCGGACGGAGTGGGACTCACTCAGTGAGCTGGTGGCCTCGTCCGCGATATAATACCAGTCCCACTCACCTTGATGAAGGGTCTCCAATGGGCTCGAAACTAGTCGGTGCCACCTGACGAATATACGTCAGTGTTTAGCCATTTTTATATATAAGTTTAGTATAATGTCTCATGAAAGTTTGAATAATTTAAGATATACGTATTTTCAGTTAGTAGAACGTCTGCGTAGTGATTGTGCGACGACATTATGGAGGTGCAGTCGTGCGGTTGCGCTCGCAGCTCGTGCTGCCGCCGCGTGCGCCGCTACAGCTGGAGACCGCGGGGAGGGAGCGCCGCTCACAGCACACGCTCTCTCTGCTGTATGGGCAGCAGCCACTGACAAGATGTATCAACAGGTAAACATTACTAAGTTTTTTTATTTTATACAGGATGTCTCAAAAGATTACGTACATAGGAAGGGGGATGATAGGGGTGGTCACAAGGGTCACCAGAAAAATTAAAATAAAAATTCCCCAGAAGGTGTAAAAAGAGGGGAATTTTTATTTTATTTTTCTGGTGACCCTTGTGACCACCCCTATCATCCCCCTTCCTATATACGTAATCTTTTGGAACATCCTGTATAATAAGTTGGTAAACGAGCGAGCGGTCACCTGAAATCGCTGAAATAGCGAAGTGACCGTTGCCCATAGACATACGCAATTGCATATGCGTTGCCTACCTTTAATCGACGGAGGCGAGGATGCACAGAAAGAACATATTTTCCCTTTCCATGCATCTAATCCGGAAAGTCCACTTCCACTTCCCATCCTTTCCTTATAAGAAAAGGGAGGGAAGGGAAAGATGACTAAATTAATCCTCCGGGACACACTCTCATCAGACTGCACGCGGAATTACTTCCACTTGAAGCCTGTCTTCTGTTGTGGTCGTGGTATTTCACCTGACGACCCAATTCGTGCATGTTAAAGTAGACCTCCATTGATACTTGACAGCTAAGGTAGGCTAAACTTTAAGCGCCAATAGCCTAATAGGTATATCAAAGATATGTGTAAAGTCACAGCCAGCATTGACTATGACCTAGTCACACTTAGTGAAGGCTCTGACTCCCTCAGTGTTGACTTAGTAAGCTAATTATAATATTATTGTGTTTTTGAATATTTTTTTTTTCTCTCTCATATCAGGATGACCACGGTCCAGTTCGTACGATACGTCACGCGCTCAACGCGGTGTCATCAGATGTCAACAAATTGGCAGCATTCACACAGGACAATGAATACGATATGATGTCACTCACCAATGTACAACAAGATAAGGTACGGTTCCACTAGTTATATGTAAGTTCTCTTCCTTAGTAAGGAATTATTGGATAATGGAAATAGATTTTAATAGAATTTAACAGTGGTAGAGCGAGCTTTAACATGTTCGCATGAATCGGCCAGGTTCGCCCGGTGAAAAACCACGACCATACAGAAGACAAGCGTGAAGTGGAAGCAATTCCAAGTACAGTCTGATGAGTGTGCGTCTCGGAGGACTAATTTAGTCCTCTTTCCCTTCACACCCTCTTTCTTATAAGTAAAGGATGGGAAATGGAAGTGGACTTTCCGGATGAGAGGATGCATGGAAAGGGAAAATGTTTTCTTTCTGTGCATCCTTTCCTCCGTCGATTAAAGTTAGGCAACGCATATGCAATTGCGTATGTCTATGGGCAACGGTCACTTCGCTATTTCAGCGATTTCAGGTGGTCGCTCGCTCGTTTGCTACCTTAAGATTTAAAAAAAAAAAAGATTTGTGGGCGGAGGTAGAAAGAGAGAGGGAGAGTTTCTCTCTCTCCCCCTCTCTCTCTCTCTCTCCTCACTCTCTTTCACTAATATTATAAATGCGAATGTTTAGATGGATGGATGGATGTTGAAGGTATCTCTATACTTCTGCATGGATAATGAAAATTTGTCATACATATACAACATAGTCTGAAAAAAGACATAGACTACTTATTTTGTTTTTAATTCCGCGCGAACGGAGTCACGGGCGACAGCTAGTTGTCATAGAATTAATATGTCCTAATTATTTACGTAGCCGACTCCACCAGTGGTACTGCGTGCTCAGTTAGTCAAGAAGCAATTAGAAGAGACGAAGACCCTCACCATCAAGTTGGAGAACAAAGAGGCTGATATTAAAGAACTCAAGAAAGCGCTTAAGGTGATGTATATCTCATTAAGAAATGTAATTTTTTTTTCTTTTAAATATAAGCAGATTTTTTAGTAAATTTTACTAATATATCTTTTACAATTCCAACTAAGCTTTAGACTTGTGCTAGGATATGGTTTACAATAGTCGAATGTCGGGATTCGAACCCCCGACCTCGTGATCGCAAATCCGTACACTTAACCATTAGGCTATTGACGCTCCTGGAATGATCATTTGAATTGTAAAACTGAAGATTTTATTAAATAAAATTGTTTTTTTTTTATGTAAAATCGATGATTGTATTGTGAAAAGTTGACCCTTGTGACCACCCCTATCATTCCCCTTCCTATGTACGTAACCTTTTGGTAGGTAGTAACACCCTGTAGGTCACAATAATTAATTAATTTAATTTGAAGTTATAGTGGTTTTTAAAAATATGTGAAAATATGGGGGCGCCAAAGAAATATTTATTCTCAAAGTGGGCAGTGGACAAAATAAGTTTGGGAACCACTGTTCTAGGTGGTCCGGTAGCTGGATTGCCTTTATTATAAAAAATATATATTTGTAGGCTAAACAAGAGGAACTATCAGAGATGCAGATACGTCGCGAGCTGGGTGAGCGCAAGCTGTCAGCTGCAGCCAGCGCGGCTGAGCTGCGCGCGGAGCAGCTGCAGCGGAAGCTGGATGATGCTCATAATCAACTCAAGAGGTCAGTCATACCATAGACGATCCTATCAAATGTAGATCAAATGTCACTTATACCATAGAGAAAGATTTGGTAAAGGTTTTAAACCCGTAATCTTTTGACTCTTAACACACACTGATCATTGTAAACTACTATGCGTAATAATTACATTATTTAAACTTTTGTGGGATTATATAATAAACTGATATAAAAACGGCGAAACACTGACGTATATTCGTCCGGTGACAACGACTAGTTTCGAGGCCATCGGAGGCCCTTCATCAGGGTCAGTGGGACTGGTATTATTTCGCGGACAAGGCCCCGAGCTCACTGAGTGAGTCCCACACACCCTGATGAAGGGTCTCCGATGGGTTCGAAATTATTCGGTGCCTCCTGACGAATGTATATATACTAGCTGTCGCCCGCGACTCCGTCCGCGCGGGATGAAAACTAGACGTTGTCCGATTCTCAGGGCTACTCAATATGCTCACAAAATTACATGAGAATCGGTGAAGCCGCTTCGGAGGAGTATGGGAACGAAAATCGTGACACGAGAATTTTATATATAAGATAATTTCGTGACACGAGAATTTTATATATAAGATAATTTCGTGACACGAGAATTTTATATATAAGATAATTTCGTGACACGAGAATTTTATATATAAGATTACCTATGAACCCATTTTTTAATTATTCGAATCCAGATAAGCAAAAACTTTTACGTTAAACTTATAGTCCGGTCCAATGGATGAGCTGTAAGCGAGAAAATCTGGTTAGAAAACTCTTTAGGAGAGACAATTAAACATACTCATTTTTCAATAATTTTAGTATTAAGCAAGGCTTAGCATTTAGGATGCCCTGGGCAAGATTAGACGCGCCCCTTTATTTTGGTGTACGGAAAAATCTTCTATAGATAGAGTATTATAATTATAGTTAAGCACCCTGGGCGGTGGTCCCATCTTGCATACTGGTCGTAAGAATTGCTTTTGATTTATGTGTGTATGTTAGGAAGGAGAAAGAGTTTGAAGAGACAATGGATCATTTGCAACAAGACATCGAGTCTCTGGAGAGTGAGAGAGGCGCGTTACGTGATAAATTGAAGTTGTACGCGAAACGTGGTGGTGCACATCATGGTATGTATTCTGTTTTTCCTCTTTATTGCCATGTTTAAGTACAATCAGGGCAGTTTTCAGTGTACTACTTATAGAAAATTGCCTTTTTTCCTTACAAGACAAATTCGCCTAATAAAAAATTGCCGTGTAAAAGTACAGTCAGGGCATTTTGCGGTGTTACACTTACAGAAAAATGTCTCGTACCTTGCAACGAGACAAATTCGCTTTATCTTACTTTATATTACTGCGTATAAGTACAGCTAAGGCACTTTGCTGTGTTGCACTTAAAGACAAACAGCCTTTTTAGACATAAAAAAGTTAACCGTTGGTAACTAAGATTAAAATGTGTATAATCGTCGTTCCTGTCTATCTTTAACATAATACGGATAATAATATGTTTTACTGGGAGATTTTGGTCTCAGAAACACACTATTAGTCTTCTACTGAACGACTTTTTCTCTTACAGACCGTTAGTTGAGATTAGATTGTGTTTTTTTGTTTACATTGATTAAGTTAGGTTAAATTGTATGAAGCTTAACACTTTTCAAAGTGTGTTTTGTGAGTTGGCACTTCGGCCAGTATAATACTCTTATTATTCACGTGCCAAATAAAATATTTACATATATCAATAATATTAGCAAAATAGTATATCTATAGACAAATTCTATGTCTGAAAATGTCAATGAAATCTATGGATTTATTTAAGAATGTTTCAGTATTTAAATTGATGATAGAAACATGTCTGTTTTTAATAAGTCTATGACTATAGCCTTATAAAGGTAAAATTGTTAAGATAGGTTTGTTATAAATTTTTATTTCTATTGAATTCGACCATACAGGATGTCCGGTAAAGACATATACAACAAAGTACTACAGATTCCTTGGTCTTATTAACCCAATTTATATCCAAAGTTAGTTATTACCGGACACCCTGTATATGTTATTATATAAAGATGTATAATATATTAAATTTATATGTATGTTAGCTGCGGTGTCCCCACCAGCCTCACTGCGGGAGTTCGCACGTAAGATACACATAGAATACAATAGCATGACCCCACTCACACTATTGTGAACCCACTCTCACAACTTCCCCCACTCTCACAAATTGCCTCCACTCTCACAACTACCTTCACTCTTACAACTTCCCCCACTCTCACAACTTCCTTCACTCTCACAACTTTCTTCACTCTCACAACTTCCCCCACTCTCACAACTTCCCCCACTCTCACAACTTCCCCCACTCTCACAACTTCCCCAACTCTCAACAATCGAACTTTATTTTAATCCTAATATTATGTTAATTTTTATTTCTAATTTTTAAGGTTTATTTAAATGAAAAACGTTATTTTATAAAACGACATGTATATGATATTTTGTGTTTAATTCCATTAAAGAACAAAAAATAAGTACTGTTTGAAAATAAGTAATAACATTTGTTAAAAAAATTGTTTTTTTTAAATTGGAAATTACTGTTTCTTTTTTTTAAATATTAAAAAGCAAAAATTTTTTGCATCATAAAAAACACAAAATGTCATTGCTTATTAATTTCTAATAGCTTTAAATATAATAAAATGTGCTATATTAATATAATTACAATATATAATTTTAACAACATGCCAACTAGCGACTGTCACAACTCCGCCCGCGCCGAAAGAGGACAAACGTAAGAATGCCATGTTGCATCTCTGCATGGATAATTTATGTTTTTTTTTAAATATTTTGTTGAAGCAAAGGTCATTGTTATGTACAGCCAAGATAATAGACAATATATATTTTTTAGATTTTTTTTTTAATATTTGATTAGCAAATTATTATTGTTTTGCTGAATTTATTTGCGATTATTTAAGAGCGTTGGTGGCTCAAGAGTCAAGCACTTGACTTGCAATGCAGGTCCTGGGTTCGAATCCCGCCATCTACCAATGTGTTTTTCCATTTCCGATTTACATATGTACATTTATCTAACTTACGATGAAGGAAAACATCGTGATGCTGTACATATCTGAGAAGAAATTCAAATATAGGTGTGAAGTCAACCCGCATTTGGCCTGTGGTTGACTATGGCCTAATCACCCTTAACTTAGGGTAGGATCCGAGCCCCTCGGTGGGGACGTATAGTGAGCTGATGATGATGAGAATAGTAGTTTAGGAATTGTTATGATTTTAAGCACAGTTTATTGTGCTTTATCATTTTTAAATTGTAAACACTGTATTTGATTTTTTTAGTTTTTTTTAAGTAAATAATTAAAATATATATCAAGACATGATTAAAGTAATTTTTGAATCTCTCCAAGTAATGATTAGGTTATGTCACGGTCAATTTTTGACATATGTCAAATTTAACAACGTTTTAACTATGTGCTAACACAGCTTTTTTTTAATCAAGGCAAAGGCGAACTAATTTATGTTAATTTATTTGCATGTATGTATGTATAATGTGTTAATTTTCTATCTTATTTACTATATGTACAGTCAGCGTCATATAGATCGTAACAGACAAGATATGCAAATATATAGGTACACCAAAAGTAATCAATTATATCGGTACAACAAAAGTCTTCAAATTAATAGATACATTCACCATGCTCAAATACATCGGTACATACACAGCGTCAAATATATGAGTACATGCAAGGTGCCTATATATTTGCATATCTTGTCTGTATCGATCTATATGACGCTGACTGTACTTTAAACTAGAACTTTTTTGTATATGACCAAAAAGCAATACAATCAAACTTGGATAAGTTAGAATCATTGTCCGGTTAAACGGACGACATTCATAAGCGAGAAAGTCGGGTTAATGAGAAATCTCTATAAGCGAGAAAATCGCTGTCTCTTGAACAAGGGTTCATACTTATTAAGGTCGTTTGTTGACAATACTGCTTACTAAAAGTAAATTCGTAAATAAAAAGATGTTATCTTTATCTTTGATAAGATAAAGATAATAATATGTTTTGTACATTTGGAAATTATGGTTAACCCTTAGTAGCCTAGAGTTTTAATTTTGATACCAATCTTTTAAACCAAATGTTCACATCACTATTAGTTTTTTTATAGGTTGGCTGTACCTATTTTACTGTTGTATTATATTCTTTCAAACGAAATTAAAAAAACAAATTTCATTATTGTTTTATTTTATCAAGCAAACACAGTAATATTAAATATAAATCACTTTTGTATGTAAATCAGGCTACTAAGGTTTAAAAAAAAATATAGCCAAAGACAAAAAAGATTTTTAATTAAAAAAATAAACTCTATTCTTAAATTAACTAGTTTACACAATTCATATGAAAAAAAAAAACTGAAATTAATGTTTTTTTTGCTATGGTTTTTAATATATATGTCTATTGACAGAGGAGACACCAGTGAAGGTGGCTCCAGGGTACGCGGCTGATGAAGTCAACGAGGCCCTGCAGAGACAGATCAAAGTACTCAACTGGTGAGTTAAAATGACCTTCATATCCAAGGAAACTATTTTAAGGTTGCCTCGCTTCACAATGTTAAACTGACGCGAGACTAGTACAGATATAGCGACATGTCAACTGTATGTTGCTCCGATATATCGAATGTTATAACGACTTTTCTTGACCATTTTGACAAACAGGTTGCGACTGTCTTCGGTGACGAGAGATAAAAATGTCGACGACGCACGCTCTGTAAAGTCACATTCGAAAGTCATTAAGCCACTAAATGTTCATTGACTTGTGTACGAAAAGCCAATGACTAAATTGATTTTGATAAATGAGGTGTCAGTATGTCAGTCAGTCTGTTTTATTTGCTTATTTTAATTCACTAATAGTGTTTTAGTAGTAAAATATTAATCTTTTAGGACAATTGAACGTGAACGCGCAGCTCGTTTAGCTGCGTGCAAGCGTGCTGAACGTAGTACAGTGCGAGCGTTACGTCCGCTTTACAACCCGGACTCAGCAGCGGCTGTTGCGAGGAGACAGGCCGTGCACAACTTGGAGAGACGACTCCAACAGTTGCAATCGGTAAGTGATAGTGATAGGTAATGAGTGCTTGGGTTGTAGGTTGTGAGTTTACAGGTTGTAAATTTTGAGTGTTTGGATTGTAGATTTTGAGTGTTTTGGTTGTAGATTGTGAGTGTACGGAAGATTGTGTTTCAGGTGGAGAGAGAGAATTTTTTAATTTTGATTGTTTTTTTTAAAGCTGTGACGTCACAATATGGCACTGGTTGATGCACATTTATATCGTTAATAATATTTAAAAATATATGTTGAACGAAATTATCAATAGCTCTTGATGAAATATTAGTTATAATTAGTCACTTCCTGCCTCGCACAGGAGCGTTGTGGAATGGTCTGTCCTTGGCGGTATTTCCAAACCGCTACAACTTAGGGTCCTTCATCTGCGGTTCCTCTGGTATTGCTGTAGTCCATGGGGGTCGTTGAACACCTCGGTGTTCCCGCTGTTCGTTTGCCCCCTTCTGTTATTAAAAAAAAAATCTTATAAATATTTTCTAACAGGAATGGACTCTATCAATAGCCCGGTCTGGTCTGATCAAGTTACCAGAGAAGATGGTCGACTATCCCAAAGTGGTGCAGCAACATAAAGAGAGACAACGAGAGATTAGGCGGCAACTTGAGGTAAGTTATTTAACTCGCACTTTAAATGATTATTAAGTTGTTTCCCGCGACTCCGTCCGTGTGGAATTAAAAAAAAAACTTAGTATCTATGTGTTCTTCCAGCATATGTTCTACATCTGTGCCAAATTTTATCAAGATTTGTTATATACATCTATCCATTCATCTAAACAATCGCATCAATAACAAATCAAATAAAAAATTTCCAAAATAAAGTACAAGAGCTATTAAAAATAAATTTTTTCGACTATTTGATTGAATTTGACGATATTTTTATTATAAAAGTGTTTTAGCTTTTGTTTTTATTATTTTTTAGTCACATAATTTTTAAAAATACTAATTTTATTTCTATACAAAAAGTACAGATATTCGCGGATATATTATAATTACGATCTCCATTAACTCTTGGTCTATATTTAGGAGCGTTTAGCATCTCTACAATTGGAGGCACGCAACCTACTCTTACTGTACAGACCGTGGCGTTGCGTTGAAGCGGACTTTGCTGAGTTCCCAACCACAGAACTCGCTGCAGTAAGTTTTACATCCGAGTAACTCAGAACACAACTCACAATACTCTTACTGAGTTCTTTGTTGTTAGAGTAAACTAATTGAATCTATTATTTATTATTATGACTAAATATTCAGAGCTTTACTAATTGAATTGAAACTACTAGTAACCTTAATATCAATTAGCTAAATAAATTGTTGAGAAAAGTAAATTTTATTGCAGCATTTTTTGACTTAAACCGCCAATGACGTGTCTCTACATACAAGACTTTACATATTGATTGGATAGTTAAGGCGCCGCAGTTTGCAAAATGAGGCGCCCCGAGTCATAAAAGTTAGGCGCCCCAAGTCATAAAAAATGAGGCGCCACAAGTCATAAAAATGAGGCGCCCCAAGTCATAAAAATTGAGGCACCGCAAATTACAAAAAAGTAGGCGCCCCAAGTCATAGAAATGAGACGCCCCAAGTCATAAAAATTGAGGCGCCTCATATCACTAAATGTGGATCATATTGTGATATCCTTGGATTTCTTTCATTGGATACAATGTTAATATTTTTTTTAGCTATATTTCTTTATCGTAATAAATATGTCTTATGTTACTTAGGCAATGAATCCAAAGACGGTAGATGTTGGTACACTCAAGTTCCCGGCGTCTGATGATTTTAAAGCTGACACAGTTTATGTCACACCTACACAGCTCGCTGAGTAAGTAATATATAGGATGGATCCTATGTAAACGATCGTAACTCACAATTATTATTCTATACTATACTATTCTTCTGCAGAGTGTCATAAGTAAAATTTGTATTTTCAGATTACGTGAGCTGGTAACTGAGTTACAATCAGAAGATGTTAAAGTGGAATTAGATTTAAAGTTAGAAGGATGTGCGGCTTAAAGCAAATTGTATCTTATAGATATTGAAATAAGGTGCAATATGTACGAATGTTTACGCTTTTCCTTAAAAAAGCTTAATAAATTGAACCTTTTTAGTATGAGATTTAAGTTGACTTTACAATAGGTAAAGTTTCATAAATTCACAAATAAAAAGATTCGAAAATTAATACTCTAATAAAATTAATCTATATTTTTTGGTTTCAAATTGCAATATCATATTTTTTTGTCATCCTTAGTCTAGTAGCTGTACTAGGTCCTTGGGCGAAATTTTTACGGCGCCTCCTTTTTTAACATGCATGGGGGGGGGGGCATAAAACTGGATTACATTTTTTTAATTTCACAAGTGACAGAAAATTGTCAGTTTTGCGGCGCCCTTTTCAGGCGCCTTAAATGGGCGCCTTTTTCAGGCGCCTTAAATGGGCGCCTTTTTCAGGCGCCTTAAATGGGCGCCTTTTTTAGGCGCCATAAATGGGCGCATTTTTCAGGCGCCTTTTTTAGGCGCCTTAAATGGGCGCCTAACCACACTAACGCTAACCCTGCCTTAAACACTCTAAGGAAGTCATCTATTTCGATTGTCCCTGTTTTTTTATAGTCTCTCCCTTGATCATGTCACTTTTCTTACAATCCATCCATTCCTAGGTCGGTTTAACTAAACATTTGTGGATTTCATTATGAAAAGGTCGATTCGGTCCCCACCGAGTTGAAAGACCGTGTAAAATGCTCCCCTCTACACTAAAATATACATAATTGTGTAGAGTTGGTGATTGCATTGTGTGTATGTCTATAAATGTATAGACAATTGCATTGAGCGTCAGTGGCTCAGTGGTCAAGCACTTGACTTGCAATCTGCAGGTCCTGGGTTCGAATCCCGCCATGTACCAATGTGTTTTTTTTTTATCCATTTCCGATTTGAATATGTACTAACCATCATCAGCTCACTATACGCCCCACTGAGCTCGGAGCCTACCCTAAGTTAAGGGTGATTAGGACATAGTTAACCACAGGCCAAGTGCAGTGACTTCACACATATCTTTGAATTTCTTCTCAGATATGTGCAGCATCACGATTGTTTTCCTTCACCGTAACATCAGATAAATGTACATATATGTAAATCGGAAATGGAAAAACACATTGGTACATGGCGGTATTCGAACGCAGGACCTGGAGATTGCAAGTCAACGACGTAAAAAGAAAAGTTTATAACAACCAAATTAATTCTTACGTTATACATACAACAAACATATTATACAGTTTATTATTATTATAATTCGAAATATTATCAATAATACGGCAGCAAAAGTTAATTTATAGTAAAGGTAAGTATAGTTCTTTTCAAATATCTTAGCAAGGGCATTCGCGATGCGCACTATCTCTTAATATATATATATATATATATATTTAAACTAAAATTAAAAAGATATAAAGACAAGATACAATAAGGCTTTATTACTTAATATAAATAAAGGTTTTAATTAACCAACTGTCTTTTACCTTTCCTGGTATATTTGTCAAGTTCTATTATAAAAAATAGTAATAAAAATCAATTAAAAAGTACTAAAATATCTCTAGTTATTCAATTTAAAAAAAAAAAAACAAAAATAAATATTTTATAAAGATCGAAAGTTTCTTTTTTTTATGCTTAAATAGTTTCATTTCATTCGTAAGCTATTATTATAATGTGAATAACAAAATAACCTACAAAATAGTGCGTCTTATGCTTAATTTGATGTAAGCGGTATAAATAAATTATTTTGAAATTATTTAATGAATTTATTTATGTGTTATTTCAATAAATAATGTAAATAAAAAATGTTGTTTTATTTAATAATATTAGAAACTAGCTGTCGCCCGCAACTCCGTCCGCGTGGATGTATAAAACAATTTAGTGTAGCCCACCCATCCATCCATCCACATCACATCCATCTAAACATTCGCATTTATAATATTAGTAAGTTAAATAAAAAGCAGTTCTTCAAATGAATAAATAGTATCCTATGTCCGTTTCCTTGCTCTAAGCTACTTCCTCACCAATTTTCAGGTATATCGTTAAAGCCGTTTTGAGTTATAAATAGTGTAACTAACACCACTTTCTTTTATATATATATATACTATCGGACCCGACAGACGTTGTCCTGTCTGCACGTCTTTAATTTGAATAAATTAATATGAAGTTAATATTTGATGAAAATTGTGAATCTAAACCATTCCCAGATCCCCCCTTGAACACACACAAAAAATTTAATCAAAATCGCTCCAGTCGTTTATATATATAAAGATAACTCCAAATGTGGTCAAATTCGTTTTGCTTCGGTGATGTCAATAGTATGGATGTTAAACGTACAGGTTCGTTAACTTGTCAATGGTACGAATAGTCAATAGTACGGACACTGATTTGTAATTTGAAATGACGTTTTGAAAAAGTTTGGTTATTTGTTAGTTAAAGTTCCTAATGCGAGAAATTCTTCTCTAAATCTTAATATTAGTTAGTATATAGGCCAAAGTGTAATCTAGTGAATCAAAAGCGTTGCTGTTCGCATTATAAGTGACATCTCTATCGCCGAGTTCAACCATTGATCACCATTTTGTAAGTATTACTCTTTTAAAATCAACTCATTCTCTTCCTTACAAGAAAATGGTGGGAAGAGAAAGAGGATTAAGCTAATTATGCTTACGGCATCCACACTCATCAGATTGTAGTTGGAATTGCTTCCACTTGAGGCGTGTCTTCTGTGTGCTCATGGTATTGCATCGTACGACGTTAAATACTTGTTGACAATAAAACTATTGAAAAAAACTCGTGTCACATTTGAAATTCGAATTACAATACTTATATTATAAATATGAATGTTTGGATGGATGTTTGTTAGAAAGTATCTTCAGAACGGTTGAATGTCAGATGTAGAACATAGTCTGGAAGAACACTTGACTACTTACTAAGTTTTTCCAATACGCGGGCGGCAGCTAGTGTTAATATAAACGAAAGTAATTTGAAATACCGATGTGAAATAATTTTGCAATAATTTTCAAACAAATTAAAAACAAAAAGCTGTTTTATAATATTTCTGCGATATTAGGTTTCATTTATAAAATAGTTGTTGAGGAGTTAACATCAAACGCGCGGTTAGGATCACCATGCGATTACGTTTTATCGGATATTCCATATCTGTTAATTTCATTTTCCATGAATATCCTAGACATCAAAAGCAGAAAATGTTTTTATTTTAATTACAACTGCTAGTAATGTCAGCTTTAAATCATCAGCTCAAACGTCCTCACTGAGAGTCTTGAAGCCTACCTTAAGTTGACCCCTACAATACCCCTCTAGTGAAGGACACGGGGGAGTCCATCACCGGCGACTGAGGGTTGCCTCCCCCCCGAGAGGGAGCTGCCTGGGCAGCTGGCGCAGACGGGGCCGCGGACGAGAGCGAAAGCGTGCCCGTGGTCCCGTCCCGATGCGTTGGAGGAACAGAGGGATTTAGTGGGTATGCCTCCGCTATGGAGGAGAATCCCACATAACTACCGCATCCCCCCCGGGGCGCGGAGTATGCATAAAGCATTCCCCTCTGAAAAAAAAAGAAAAAGGCCATAGTCAATGCTGACCCAGTGAGTGACTTCACACATATCTTTGAATTTCTTCACAGATATGGGCATCATAATGTTGGTGAAGGCACCGTAAGAACATCAATCGTTTTTTTACTATCTTACTAATAGAAATGCGAATGTTTGGATGGATGGATGTTTGTTAGAAGGTATCTTTAGAACGACTGGATGTATATCGATAAAATTTGACATATATGTAGAATAAAGTTTAGAAAAACTCATAGGCTAGATTTTAGTTGTTCCGCGCAGACATAGTCATGGAAAAAAGCCTAACTAAAGTGAAAATCTTCTAACATCATATATTTTATGGTCACCCTCCCTGCGGTGGAATAATTTTCATTGGCTTGTCTCTTTGATCTCGAACATTAATAAGAAAAATATTCAATAACATCCTCAAAGCATACCAACGCCGCGCGGTGTTGCCATTACAAGGGAGCTTATTCAGCCAGAAACATTTTTAATAATACATTTTCTATCGCATAAAACATTTTAATATGATTTTATAGCTCATATTAAGTATATTCAATTGACTATAACTTAATCTTACGAATAAATGCGAATGTTTATGTGTTTGTTAGAAGGTATCTACAGAACGGTTGATCTCGATGCAATTTGGTATACATATAGAACATAGTCTGGAAGAACACATAGGCTACTAATTATGTACCGGGCGGACGGAGTCGCGAGCGGCAACTAGTTAACTACAGATTTTTAATGTCAAATATTTTTTTAACATCGATCCAATTTTAGTATACTCGTTACATACAAAATCAATCTTTCCTCTTAACTCTTTATAATATTAATATAGATAAATAATAGATAAGCAGCAGAAAGTTGTGTTAGTTACACTATTTATAACTCAAGAACGGCTTTACCGATATGCCTGAAAATTGGTGAGGATGTAGCTTAGAGCTAGGAGACGGACATAGGCTACTATTTGATATCGATTAAATTTAGCGCTTATTAAGTCAATATATGCTCAAAATCATTATTAGGCACTGCTTTTTGGCGAGATTTAGTATAAAAAATCTACTAGACTAGGTTAAATCGTTTTAGTACAAAAAGTTAAATATATATCTTGCTGTTTTTTCGAATATGCAATATTAAAAATTCAAAAAAACTCTTTGCAATTACATTTTTAATAATAAAAAAATCCTTTATACAATATTTCCTTGTTATTTCCATTTATTCATTTATCTGGTAACACTGTAATGGCCGAGTACGCCTTTGACTATTGAGAAACGGACTAGGTAATGCTTTCGGTTGTGATAAATAAATTCTGCTACTCGCGTCGCGTAAAGATGACAATCGCATATCTTTATATATATAATTCTTCTGTGAGTGTGTATGTCACTGAACTTCTCTCAAACGACTGGAGCGATTTTGATGAAATTTTTTGTGTGTGTTCAAGGGGATCTGGGAATGGTTTAGATTCACAATTTTCATTAAATATTAACTTCATATTAATTTATTCAAATTAAAGACGTGTAGACAGGACAACGTCTGTCGGGTCCGCTAGTAAAATATATAAAAGAAAGTGGTGTAAGTTACACTATTTATAACTCAAGAACGCCTTTACCGATATGCCTGAAAATTGGTGAGGAGGGAGCTTAGAGCCAGGACACGGACATAGGATACTATTTATTCATTTTTTTCGAATGTATGCCTTGAAGAGTTGCTTTCTATTTAACTTACTAATATTATAAATGCGAATGTTTAGATGGATGTGATGTGGATGGATGAGTGGGCTACACTAATTAAGTTTTTTATATATCCACGCGGACGGAGTCGCGGGTGTCAGCTAGTATTTGATACATACGTGAATTGAAACATATTTATGACCTATATGAAGAGTCTTAAATCTATATTAAATAAAATATTAAAAACGAATAATTACCTAAAATATATTATTAAAAGGAGTCCCTTTAGGCAAGGTCCCGAAGATACTGGCAGCGTTCCACCTTTGGATAGCTAAACTAATTCTTTGTCCGAGGTAGCAGCCAGCTCTTCGGTCCCCTGTGATGTCGATATATAACCTATGTATATTACGTCAAAAATTTACACAGAAAATTAACCATTTAAATAAATGCATTTTTAGAATTTATCGTTTTCGATAGAGAGGAACAGGAGAACTTAACAGGTCCTGTCACTTAAATATCAAAGTGAAGCAGACGCGCGATTAATTATTACATTCCTGCATTCCCAGCGCCCGCTCACCGGCAAAAATATTATTTGTTGCGACCATAGGATACGTAGATGTACTAAACAAAATATTAAATCTTACTAATATAGACTAGCTGTCGCCCGCGACTCCGTCCGCGTGGATATATAAAAAGACTTAATTAGTGTAGCCTATGTGTTCTTTCAGACTATGTTCTATATGTATGCCAAATTTAATCGTAATCCGTTCAGCAGTTCTAGAGATATCTTCAAACACACATCCATCCATCCACATCACATCCATCTAAACATTCGCATTTATAATATTAGTAAGTTAAATAAAAAGCAGCTCTTCAAGGCATAAATTCGAAAAAAAAAATCAATAAATAGTATCCTATGTCCGTCTCCTGGCTCTAAGCTTCCTCCTCACCAATTTTCAGGCATATCGGTAAAGCCGTTCTTGAGTTATAAATAGTGTAACTAACACCACTTTCTTTTATATATATAAAATTGTTTTTAAATTAATGTCATTACTTATAACTACTTATATCTTTAAAAAAACCTTAATAAATTAATTTTTATTTACATGTCCATTTATTTTCACACTTCCCGCGCGTCATATACTGTTTCCCGCCAAATTTCGGTTCATACCGCCGCGGCCATTGTTACCAAATATGATTAATTATTTTGTTATGGTTAACCATACTTGTAATGCGTTCATTTATAATTAATATTAATAACGCTATATTGTTATAATTTTATTTATTACTCTAATTGAATGTTACGTATATAATCAAAAATTACAAATTAAAAAAAATGCGTCTATTAAAAAAGTAGTTTTAAACCTAGTTAGTAGTAATCTATATCTTTATATATATAATTCTTCTGTGAGTGTGTATGTCACTGAACTTCTCTCAAACGACTGGAGCGATTTTGATGAAATTTTTTGTCTGTGTTCAAGGGGATCTGGGAATGGTTTAGATTCACAATTTTCATCAAATATTAACTTCATATTAATTTATTCAAATTAAAGACGTGCAGACAGGACAACGTCTGTCGGGTCCGCTAGTATTTTATATAAAAGAAAGTGGTGTAGTTACACTATTTATAACTCAAGAACGGCTTTACCGATATACCTGAAAATTGGTGAGGAGGTAGCTTAGAGCCTGGAGACGGATATAGGATACTATTTATTCATTTTTTTTTCGAATTTATGCCTTGAAGAGCTGATTTTTATTTAACTTACTAATATTATAAATGCGAATGTTTAGATGGATGTGATGTGGATGGATGGATGGGTGTTTGAAGATATCTCTAGAACTGCTGAACGGATCTCGATTGAATTTGGCATACGTATAGAACATAGTCTGAAAGAACACATAGGCTACACTATTTTTTTATATATCCACGCGGACGTAGTCGCAGGCGACAGCTAGTTAATTAAATAAATCTTACTAAAATAAGTGCGTAAGTTTAGATGTCGAGATGTTTGTTACCAGATATCTCCAGAATAGCTGAACTGATCTTGCTGAAATTAGGCATAGATGTAGAACATAGTCTAGAAGAACCGAAAAAAGAAGTTCCGTAAGGGTCGAAACACGGAGAGTAACTTGTTGTCCTTCGTATCGGAACTAGCGCCTGCCGTGGACGCCGGAAGACAGGTCGACACTGCGTATTTTGACTTTCGCCGCGCTTTTGATACCGTAGACAACGATATATTATTAATTAAATTTGCTGCGTTTGGGTTCACTCCCAGTTTACTAAACTTTTTTGCTAATTACCTAAAAGAGCGCAGATAGTACGTCGAGTACGAGGGTTACTTTT